ACCTCTACATCAAGACAAACACTCCATGCACAGATAGGGAGCAAATACATTGACAGGGCCACCACTTTATTTGGGGACTCCAAAACTGAAAACACGGCATCCCTGCTAATGTATTTGCTCCCTATCTGTGCATGGAGTGTTTGTCTCGATGTAGAGGTGGACTCTCAGGATGGCGTGGGATATTCCCTCCATTTTGGCCTCAACTTGAGAGCTTTTTTTGAGCTTGGGAGATTATTTCAGAGAAAACCAGTGGCACCATCGTGTTTCTCGCGAATTTTTACAAAAGAATCAATAGTCAAATCGCAAACTCAAACATGCAACATCTCCATTGTGGTAGTACTCAAATTAATTGTAGTTGTACGAAGTAGGTTACAAGTAGGATCAATGAAGTAGGTTACTAACCGATATGTTGCGCGCGGTACTACCACAATTAACTGGAAATGCCCGTATCATCCAACAAATAGGAGTGGTATTACAATGTTTTAGGGGACAAACCCGCACTTTTTTTTCCGTGCCGCATGAGCTCGATACAGTTGCGATTTTGTAAGTTGGCGACACTGTTTATGCTGTTCGAATCCATTAAAAATCGATCGTTTTACACACATTTAAATAGAGAAAAATCAGTGTGCCAACTTTCAAAAATCTCCATTGGCTGGATGGAAATTCGGAAGTCCATTTGTGCGAGGGGTACCGTATTCTTCACTTACCAGACTAAAGTAGGACATCAGTTGAAACATGATCGGGTAGTACAAGGATGACTCCGGTAGACTTTGCTCAAGCCTTTACTTTTGAATTCTGGTATGAAGGGTTTACGCTGAAAAAAATATCCTTTGCAAAGTCGCGCGGTGAAAACAAGTCGACCGAAACTTAATCGAGATAGAATCGTCGAAGTCGCGACGCACAGTTGCGGGCGAACAGTGAACCGTCCCAATGCGTGAATCCCGTTGACGAAATCGGATTAAAGGCTAAATCCTCGCTGTACTTTTTTCGCTCTTTTCATAGGGTAACAATAGCCGCCATTTGCTGGATAATGCTGTCACCAGTTGAAACAGCAAAAAACGTGTCAAAAAATGCGTCAAAAAATGCGTCACAGCTAAGTGTTTTTATTAAAAAAAGCCGCCTCGATAGTTTAACACGGGGATCATGTTCCCATACCTGGGAAGAGAACCGTATATGTGCAACCAAACGTTGCACAATCCCCCCTGATGAGATATTTTTGAAGGAAATTATGAAAACTGCCCTTTGAAATTTTCAGACACTGCAACTGAAACTCCAAATGATATTCTGTGAAAAAAATTAATTAATTCTGAGAAAAAATTGATTTACGTCAGCAGAGATTTGATAGCGTCTGAGGGTTCGCCGGCCGTTCTTTTAAAACTCGGTGACATGTTTTCGACATCGAAATATTCCCGATGTGTTTCATCATTCGATTTGAAAATTAAATCGACGAAATTGTTTGAAAATTATATCGACGCAATTCCTTGAAACTTAAATCGACCGAATTTCTGGAAAGTCCACGTGATACATCATCTCTGTTTGGGTGTAGTGAAACTCTCGAGCGATGAAGTTGACTCGACGGGGCCATGGAATTTTAAAACGACGCAGACTAGATAATGGAGATGTTGCATGTATGAAGAATTTGCGATTTGACCGCATTGATTCTTATGTAAAAGTTCGCGAGAAACACGGTTGGTGCCACTGGTTTTCTCTGAAATCATCTCTCAAGCTCAAAACAAGCTCTTAAAGTGAGGCCAAAATGGAGGGGATATCCCACCCTACCCTGAGAGTCCACCTCTATACATCAAAACAAACTCTCCATGCAAAGATAGGGAGCAAATACATTGACAGGGCTGCCACTTTATTTGGGGACTCCAAAACTTAAAACACGGCATCACTGCTAATGAATTTGCTCCCTATCTTTGCATGGAGAGTTCGTCTTGATGTAGACGTGGACTCTCAGGATAGCGTGGGATATCCCCTCCACTTTAGTTTCAACTTAAGAGCTTTTTTTAAGCTCGCTGCGTGTTGCCAGCACGAAACGGGCATTGGCGCCTACAAACCTAACAGGGATACTTCACGCATTGCGTTATGCGTGAAGTATCCCTGTTAGGTTTGTAGGCGCCAATGCGCGTGTCACGCTGGACGACCTCGTCCGCCGCGTCGCGGCGCTTCAAGCAACTATTTCACAACAGAGGTTTTGCACAGTATCATACAAAAATTGAGGGCGCTCCAACACATTAAATATGACAGTCATACTTTAAGAGCACCGAGCTTTCCTCGCAAAATAAATCAAGATACTACGGCACAAAAAGAGGGAGGTTGCCCAAAAACTCACCAAGACCCACCTTGGGCCTCAACTTGAGAGCTTTTTTTGAGCTTGGGAGTTGATTTCAGAGAAAACCAGTGGCACCATCGTGTTTCTCGCAAACTTTAACATAATTAATAGTCAAATTGCAAATCCCTCACACATGCAACATCCCTATTGGTTTTGGGGTTCATCCGTTGTTGTGCGTCAGGGTAATAGGACAAAATGGACCTATTTATGCTAAAAGGAACTATGTGCGATTTGCATAGGGTTTGCGTGTAACATAGTTCCTTTAATAGCATAAATACGTCCAATGTCCAAAGATAAATGTCCTAAGTATAAAAATGTCCAAAATCAGAAAAGTCCATACCTAAAACATGTCCAAATATCTGGAATGTCCAATAGCGGTAACTCGACTGAAAAAATTGCCCAATAATGACATGATTTGACCAAGTGGCAACATAGTGAGCTTGAAGTCTTTATGCTGTCAAAAAAGTTAAGAGCAAATCAGGATAGAATCCTCAGGCGCGTCCAGCGGTATCAAGAATGTAAAGATGAAGATGATATTCCAAGATATCTTAGGGGAATAGACTATTATGTTCGAGTTTGCAACGAGCCGCAAGACGAAAGTGATGAAGAATTTCTACGAGCAGGTAAATGGCAATGTTAATCATGACTGATAGAAACTAGAGTACCTGTATAGCGAGAGTATAGACAGATGTGAAACTCCGAAAATCCATCAGGCCTTCACCGATGCCTCCGCGAATATAGTTAGGGCCCAGAAATGCAGCCAACCTATGAATCTCAATTATCCAGAGCGCTTTACTAATACAATTGTTACGAACCATCGTTTATAAAGCACGTATTTGACTTAGATTTTGCATACATTTACTCGTTTTTGCGGAAGAACACTCATTTATGTACATTCTTAGCCATCTTGGTTAGAATTGGAATCTGCAGACTGGCAGTGAAATTTTGTGCGTTAGAAGTTGGTTAGAAGGGTGGTTGCACTTTTGGGCCCTAAGCCTTCCATGAAGCGATCTGTCCATACTCTCGCTATATAGGTACTCTAATAGAAACTGGAATTTTGAGCATTTTTCATTTTGGCCGCGATACCACTATTGGGCATTTCAGATACTTGGACATATTTTACAGATGTTCTTTTTTTACTTTGGAAATTTTTGTCTAGATATTTATTTTTGGACATTTTGACCTATCACCTGCGTCAGCCGGCAAGGTTAATGTCAACGTGCCTGAAAATGGTACAACACGAGTTGCTAAAGACCTCAAAATAGATTTTCAACTCGCGTGCTGAAATGGCTTCAATCGTGATGAACTTTTCAGATTGATTTTTATGAAAAAAAAGGCACATTTGACGTAGAGAGGGTGTCACTTTTGCGATCACGTTTACGGTCGATGTATTCCGCAAAAACGTATCTAATGAGCTGAAAAAACACGGATGAATTTGAAATTCGGCGAAATTCAAACGCTTTTAACCACAGTTTCCACTGATTGCTGCGACTACAGTACTCTATTTTTATTTCTTTAGAGTACCAAGGAACGAAGATTCTATCGCAAAGCAACGCGATGAAAACGTGTCGTTCAAAACGCTGACCATTATACTCATTTTGCCTCCGATCACAGTTGTCAGATTGTGCTGAAAATCAGCACTTTTCCCAATTTTAACTCGGGATATCTACATTATTTGGTACAATTTGGCAGCCTTGCTCTGGAGCGACCAAAGGTAAACGGTTAGTGTGACCGAGCTAGGTGAGAACAAGTTAGAAAAGGAGGGAGGACTCAAAAATATCGACTCATGCTGACATTTTTCAGTGGTGTGTCATAAGAAGTGTTCCCGTTAGCGAGTTTAAAAAAAAAGTTTAGCGGAGTCTGTGCTAATCGTTCTGCTGAGGAAGAACGCCTTATTTTCCTCCTGACGTTGCCAAATTTTCTTCGATTAGAAAAAAAACATTTTTCAGAGAAACTTATGAACGGGCCTCATCTAATTTTCACAGATTTTCGTTCGCAATTTAAACTAAAGTATCTGAATAATTCAAAGAGGGATATTCATAACTTTCTTTAAGGTCATATTTTGTCGAGGGAAATCTGTTAGCGCTTGAATATTGTTACGGAGTTCTCCCTTAGCCGAGCAGTAAACACCCCTCTATGACCTTATGACCTTTCGGATTTTTTCCAGGGGCGGACTGGTGGTCGAAAAGTTAGGAGGTGACCAAGATTTGGGGGCCCCTCCTGTCGTTCGGGGGGCCCTCCCCCGGAAAATTCGGAAAATTTCACACTTTTTAAACGCAATTTTAAGCATTATTGGATTCAAATTCTACAGTATTTGAAATTTAAAATAACCCATTCTCAGGATTCTTCGGGGGTTCCTTCATCACATAAGCTTTAGGTGACCTTTCATGTCTCTTAGAGACAAATTTTCAAGGATTTCGGGGCCTTTTAGTGACTGGAAAGGATAGGAAAATTACAACATTACGGGGGAAAAAACGATAACTCGAACAAATTTCAAAAAAATTCCAAAGATAAACTTTTCGAAAAAAATTTTTCCCTCAGGAGGAGATCATATAAGGTGTGTTACGAAGGGATTTTTTTTGCTATGGGGGTGCTGCAATCGGTAAAATTTTTTAATAAGAACTGTTGATCGGTTAAACATAGAACCTCTTCTCCTTTGCTGTAGATGACGCAATACCTATTCAGTGACAGCATGGCCTTTGGCATGGATGCCCTGAGCCTGGCTATCCAGAGAGGTCGGGATCACGGTCTTCCTGGCTACAATCAGTATCGCAAATTCTGTGGTCTTCCCGAGGCGCACTCATTCACCGACCTGGAAGAGAATATTCCTAAATCGGTAAGTCATTATTCAACGGTTCAGCACATAACACATACATATAACACATAACACAACATAACAACGGTTTCAGCAAGCTTCCCAATCGAGCAATGTTCATTTCCCTCCATGTGTTTTACAAACTGTAAGTAATTTGATATAGCTGAGCCAAAGCGTCAAGATCGAGGTTGCCAGATTTTTTTATCGCAGACAAGTTCATGATAACGTTTAGCGCGCGATGTGAATCACGTAGAGCACTGAGTTTTCATGAGCGGGTGGCTTGAATTCACGCACCAAGAATCATTAAATATCTTCGGAAGGAGTTGATTTCGGTAATTTCCGTTGTGCGCATCGCGTTTTTCGTGAAATTTTGGCGAGGAAATATGTATCAGAATGCTGAAATTCGTACCTTGTCTAGTGTTCCATTCTTCTTCTCTTTGTATTAGTTTAATTAAGGCTGTTATCCGCACGATGTTTGAGAATATGCCTTTTGATTGCAGATCGTGCAGAAACTGAAGTCGTTGTACAAGAGTGTGGACGACATCGACCTCCTCGTCGGCGGGATCGCCGAGAAACCGGCCGACGAGAGTCTGGTCGGACCCACGTTCCGCTGCGTCATGGGCGAGCAGTTCATCCGGACCAGGATCGGCGACCGCTTCTTCTACGACAACCCCAGTCAACCCAACTCATATCGGGAGGGTGAGTTTAAAATCCCTCTCATTGATACCTCAAGTGCAAAACCAGAAATCGTCACCTTCCGGCCAAAGAGACTGTAGGAATAATACAGAATACACGCATTCCGATTTCACTGCGGTGCGCGCTTAACGCATGTTAGCGCCTACAAGACTGTGGAAATACCTCACGCATTGCGCGCTTAACGCATATTAGCGCCTACAAGACTGTGGAAATACCTCACGCATTGCGCGCTCACTACGGTGCGCGCTTAGACCGTTGAAAATACGCAGCGCATTCACACAAGAGATGTGGACATAGTGTTGACCTCTTGTAAAACAGAGAAAAATTAATTGGAATTTTTCATTATTTGATATGACAATCCTTAATCCATACAGAGTGTGCAAAAGTGTAATGGTAGTATCAAGTAGAAAAACGCCGACTCTGCGAGTGTTCCTAATTGCGCCGAATACGGTGAGGTCGGCGCTGAACGCATATCAGCACCTACAAGACTACAGGAATACTTCACACATTGCACGTTCTCTGCGATGCGCCGACCGTGCGCGCTGAACGCATGTTAGCGCCTACAAGACTGTGGGAATACCTCACGCATTGCGCGATGACTACGGTGCGCGCTTAAACCGTTGAAAATACGTCATTTCTCGGTGCCGGACCCAGCGTGATGTACACCATTTCTGACCAGCGCACACCACGAACCTGTAATCTTAGGATCGAGGGTTCTTAGAGAACCTTTTGCACCCCTGAATGGTACCTTAGTTAATTAAGTCAAATGAGAAAAAAAAGCAACAAAACACTAAGAAGAGGCCCGAATACTGTATGTAACAAGGTGGAGAAATGGTGTGGGTCCACGCCATTTCGCGGGAAAATCAAAGCCGAGAAGTTCCAAAAATTATAATTAGAGTCAAAAATAATTTTCTTTAAACTCTAATGAGTACCAGTGCAAAAATGAGGGGGGGAGGGAGAGTGTTCAGCTCAGGCAGTTTGGAAAATGGTGTGGACCCAGCACCATTTCTCCACCTTGTTAATTGAGTCATTGATGTCGGAGTCGTCCGTCTTGTTCGGATGATTCCCATTTCGGCAAATTTTACCCATTTCGGCAAAAAAGAAAGTAGACGTTTCGGCAAAATTATTTCAGCACATCGAGGGGGAAAACGGACCGATTCGGCATAAGACCAATATCAGTAAGCTCACAGAAAGTTTTAGAAAAAATGCCCAATTCGGCGCAGAGCCGTATAAAATATAAGTATTAGAAACGACTCACCATTAAATAGCGACAAAGCGGTTTCCCATGCTTCGGAGGTATGTATTTTTCGTAATAACGTGACTCTGATAGCGTTGGAATTGATTTGAAACAAAATTTTCTTTTTCGATTAAGTCCTTCCTTCTACGCGGTGGATGTCCTTTCGTAGCAGCTGAAATCTTTAATCTGCGGAGGGGTTGTTGCTCTTCCAAAGATTTGATAACATGGAAAATCGAGGGATGAGGTGATTGATACCATTGATACCAATGTTTTCTGATCGACTATCGTTGTAACGAGAACCTCTCTACAGCGAGAAAATCGGCCGGTCGCTGAGTTCATGTCACATGTGGAGAGAGATTACTATAAATTCCACTCATTTTTTGTCAAATCGTCACCTTGCGGTCAGAGTACCACAAGCGCCAGCCACGTTTCAAAACTTCCGTCGCCATTTTATTTTTTTACAGAGAAATTTTTGATTGAATCCGTTTGAAAATTTCACGAAATTTTATCGGCATCACGAAGGCAATTCAGTGGAAGTTTCGGACAGATTCTTTCAACGACTTCCGTGTAAAAAAATAAAATGACAACGGAAATTTTGAAACGTTGCATGGCGCTTGTAATACTTTGGCCGGAAGGTGACGAAATCTGTACGTGGCGTTTCAAAATATATGCTTCTTTTATGTTTTATCCAAGAGAAAAAAGGCAACCTTGTAGCTTGAAATTTATACTGAATTATCTACTTATGGATACTAATAGATAATCAAGGAAGTTTTCAAGGGATTATATTGGCTAGGGACCAAACAGCTTTTCTGGTGCGGCCATGTTAATAGGATGACGGGGGAGAGGCTGCCAAAAAAGAGGCTTGATTGGGTTCCTCCTGGGAGGAGACGAAGGCGAAGGGGACGCCCAATAAAGAATGGCAACAGCGGGTTGATTATTGAAGTTGATAGAAAAAGCTATAGACAAAGAAGAAATAGGAAGTGAGGAGCTGTCCAATCGGTTGAAATGGGTGGCTCCTATAGACTAAGGGAGAAAATGATGGACTACCTATCGGGTCTCTCGTATGGTGCCGTTGGTTAGTCCATCACTTACCTCCTTCGTCCATTGCAACCACCCGCTTTCACCAATAAGATCTCTCATATCTCTTTTGTCTTCTTTGTCTTCTTTGTCTTCTTTGTATAGCTTTGTCTATCAATTTCAATAATCGGCCAGCAGGGGGTTTTAAATGAAATGCCAACTCCCTGACGGGCTGTGGGAGAACCGACTACTGTGGCGGTTAGGCGTCGCAGAGCGCCAGGGAGCGCTGTGAAAGCGACTCTTATGTATGTATATTGGCTAGTTGTCCAAAGAAAAATAAATGTATGACAGGACGTCTGCAACGTCGCAAACGGAGGTACGTGGTATCACAATTTTCGTGACCCATGCCTGTCCATGTCGCCGTCCACGGGGAGAAAGATCTCTCGGTCGTGTTCATAGTTGTTCCTTAAAAAAAAACATGGCGCGTGGCACGATGCCTTCTGCTGGACTATCTGAGGATGGACCCGCACAAAACTCCTTCATTTCGGAGGGTATGCAATTTGATCTCCGGAGTGTTCAAATAGTTGCTTGAGGTAAGAGCTGCCTTGCGGTACCGAAAGCCATGCTGCGTGGCACGGTGCCTTCTGTTGGACTATCTGAGGATGGACCCACACAAAACGCCTTCATTTCTTAGGGTATGCAATTTGATCTCCTGAGTGTTCAAATAGTTGCTTGAGATAAGAGCTGCCTTGCGGTACCGAAAGCCATGCTGCGTGGCACGGAGTCCTCTGTTGGACTATTTATGGTGATTCGATGGACGTCATACTTTGTGTCAAAACCACATGCGATGTATCGCATCAATTGGTGTCATTTTTTCGGTTACTCTTTATTTTTCTCGATGTTGAGATCGCAATTCTGTTGTTAGGATACTGAAGAATTCACTCGCCCATTTTAACAAACAAATGCAACGTAATATGGGGGTGGTTTTTTTAGAAAGAAAATATCGCATTCGAGTGCAGTGTCGATATCAATATCGAATTCGATATTTTTCCTCTAAAAAACCACGCCTTTATTAAGTTATTTGTTTGTAAAAATTGGTAAGTGAATTCTTTAGTCTCCTGACAACAGAATTGTCATCTCAAAATTTGAAAAAAAATAAGAAGTAGCTGAGAAAATGGAACTGATCGATGCGATATATCGTTTGTCGTTCTGATACAAAATATGGCGTCTATTGAATCGCCTAAGAATGGATCCACCCAAAATTCCTTCATTTTGGAGGGTATGCAATTCGATCTACGGAAAGTTAAAATAGTTGCTCGAAATAAAATCAGACGTGCGGCAACGAGAGTCATATCACGCAGCGGGATGCATTCTATTGAATGAAGGGGCTTGCAAGCCACTACAAAATTTTGCCTCTTCGTGATGGAATTTACAAATATCAAATGTAGTTTTTCCTCCAAATGACCTCTAATTAATAAATCAACATTTGATCATCTGTTTCAGAGCGCTTGCACCAAATTAGGAAGGCCTCTCTTGCTCGAATATTCTGTGATAACTCCGATAACATTACTATGATGCAGATGAATGTGTTCCTGAGACCATCGACGACTGAGTAAGTTCCGTTTCAATTCTATATTTGGACGTCTTCAAATCAAAAGGAACTACGTCTATTATGACATGAGCCCTGTCATGCATTAATTCTTATAGATCTCAAAGCTCATATCATAATGGAACATGGTGGTGAATTGGTGCTGGTTCCACGCTATTTCGCAGGGGAAGGAAAGTCAATGTAGAATTTTGAAACAATGCAATCAAGCAGCGGCGTGGCCTGCTTTGCGATATATCGATTGCTATGCCATTTAAACCCATGGAAAAGGATCGATAAACAGGGTGTTCGCATCGAACACCTTAATAATCGATTCTTTACCATAGGTTTAAATGGCATAACAATCGATAAATCGCAATTCACGCCACGCCACTGCAATCAAGATCCATGTTTTTTGGGCTCTGTCGCCGATTTCAACGGTGAAACTGCAGGAACGCCTTTCTCGTTTGCGGTATTTTAAAATCTTTGCTGTCATATTATTACATCAAAAGAGAAAAACCATCGCTATCGCTCAAAATTTTCACAGAATATTTCTCACACAGACTGGAAAAATTTGGAGAGTTTTCAAAAAATGCCGTTTGGTATTTTTCCTCTTAAAAGAAAATGCGATCGGAAAGCTGCAACGTCGCAAATTTCCAAGTAGCAACGATCGCGATAAATAGCGATTTTATCGGTCAGTTATCGCGATCATATCGGTGGCAATATATCGATCGATTTTATTGCCGATAAAAATCCAGTAAGCATATCTACACTGGTAAAAAAAAATCTCTTGGACCAATGCCGCGGTGCATTGACGTAAGAGTGCAGTTTCTTGTCGCCGGATTTTAGAGTCTTGAACTCTTGTTTCATTGTGCATTGATTCAAGCGGATTTTGCATTGAAACAAGAGTCCAGACTCTTAAATCCGGCGATAAGAAACTGCACTCTTGAACCAAGATATTTTTTTTACCAGTGTAGATTTTTCCGTTGAAAAATGTTACTTGGGTTGAGCTGCAATATCCTGCAGCTTCAACATCAATATGATCCCGACTGTGCATGATTTGAAAATTGTGCGTAGGAAGCACAAATCTATCATCTGTTCGTATCATCACAATTTAAATTTTTTTTTAATTTTCCAAGAATGCGTCTAACCTCTGATTATTCGCCGTTTTTGTTGCAGCAACGATCTAATGCCGTGCAGTGAGGAGATCATCCCGAAAATAAACCTCGAGGCTTGGCGGGAGCAGCACGTCAAACTCAACCGACACATGTCGTGAAACACCGCGCATGCGGACGAGCTTACTGTGATGCTAGGACATGATACATATGTCGCTTTAAAAGTTGCCAATACACCAAATAATAAAAACCAAATAACTGACTCGATATCTTTATCTCACCCACACATAGAGTACATAGAGTTGTAATGTAAGTGGGAGAGCTGGCGCTAGAGTCCCTTTATACTGAGAGTCAAGACAATGCGAATCCATTTCTGATTGGTTAACCGGATTTTAGGCCTTCAAAGTGTCACAAACGGGAATAAAGATTACATTTTCACCAATTGCAAAGATAATAATCTGGAATGGACCGAGGAATTTCGGGTTCGACAAGGAACAAACGGAATGAGAGAAGGAACGGAGAAAGGAATTTAAGAATGAGCCGATCAAAGATTACGAAAAACGTTCAATTTGTGTAATCTTTATTCCCGTTTGTGACTCCATGAGGGGTGTTGTCTTGACTCTCAGTATAAAGGGACTCTAGCTGGCGCCATGTTCTGCTCGACGAATTCCGAGCCCGGTGTGCGCCGAGTTCGGGTCGCTTTTTCGATACATTTTCGATCCAAAATGGCGGTGTGGAATACGTGGTAATTCCTATCTCCTTTGTTGTTGTTGTTGTTGTTGTTGTTGTTGTTGTTGTTGTTGTTGTTGTTGTCATCGGATGGCCGGGTACCCGTGTATCGCAAACAATCGATTATGTATCGATAAAGTGACCCGGCGTCACACAGGAGTCTCGGAATTCGGGACATGGAAAATGCTTAAAAGTGGCGCCAGCTCTCCCACTTATATTACGACTCTATGTACTCTATGCACCCACAGCGAGCTCACTGTTGAAATTTATAGACAAAGCTATAGACAAAGAAGACATAGGGAGTGTTGCTTTTTAGCAACAATCAGAACTATTGAATAACTATTCAACTTCATAATAATTACATTCATAATAATACAATGGATACGACTTTATTCACACAGTTTTATAGCGTTACAATGCGTATGTATATAGAACTCTGTTACATTGCTTATTATTGCTTCCTCTGTTACCTGTCTTTGTTGCCTACATTTAGCAACAAAGAACTATTGAATAACTATTCAACTTCATAATAATAATATTCCTAATAATACTGCGGATATGACTTTATTCACACGGGTTTATAGCGTTACAATGCGTATGTATAGAGCTCTGTTACCACGAAGACATATCTGGTTGAAGCTTAATTAGCTTTAACAGGGAGTATGAAGCGATCCTATTGGTTGAAATGAGTGGTATGGACTGAGGGAGAAAAAGAGACCAACTATGGGGTCTCTCGTGGGTTGCCTTTAGTTTGTCTATACCTACGCTTTTGGTCCATTGCAACTGACTTTACCAGTAGGATCCCTCCATATCCCTTTTTTTCTTTGTCTATCGATTTGTCTATACATTTCAACAATCAGCACCCTGGACACTAAACAAGGTCTGGACCAAAAAAGCACATCACGAGTTTTTCTCTGAAATCTTACGAAGGAAACGATTCACACAACGAAAACAGTGGCGAGACGCGAATGGTCGATTATCGAGATTTCCCCATTTGAAGCTATGATAAAGAATCGATTATCAAGGTGTTCGTCTTGAACACCCTGTTTATCGGTCCTTTTTCATAGATTTAAATGGCAGATAAATCAATATATCGCAAAACACGCCACGCCATTGGACGAGAAGTTCGGAAAGTCGGCCCATCGACGAGATATTTACAAGTGTTCTTAACACAGATCAAACGAGGGGCTTAGAAGATAACACGCATAAGTTAATTTTTTTTTAAAAAATTGAGATATTAAATATTAATGGTTAAACTAATCTAGAAATATATTTCGTGAGAAATTAACTTCTATAATCAAATTTAAGCGTCAAAAAGTATGTACGCCGCTAACCAAAAGTCACCTACCGTCACTCTAACTTTTTTCCTACTTGGGATAGAAATTTTTAATTATAGTTACACTTGTTCGATGGACAAATGCATATGAATTTGAAAAAAAAATGAAATTTTGGGAACGAGTATCCGTCGTTTACGAGTTTATAGCGGCTAACATACCAATGCATTCACACAAAAGATGCGGACATAGTATTGACCTCTTGTAATTAAACAGAGGAAGATGAATCGGATTTTTTATTGTTTTATAAGACATTACTTAATCCATACAATGTGTGCAAAAATATAATGGTAGTAACAAGTTGAAAAACGCCGATTCGGCAAGTTTAACTAACCGCGCCGAACACGGTGAGATCGGCGCGGAACGCATATTAGCGCCTGCAAGACCATATGAATTATACTTCACACATTGCACGTTCACTGCGATGCGCCGACCGTGCGCGCCCAACGCATGTTAGCGCCTACAAGGCTGTGAGAATACTTCACGCATTGCGCGATCACTACGGTGCGCGCTTAGACCGTTGAAAATGCGTCATTTTTCGTTGCCGCCGGACCTTCAGCATAGTATACACCATTTCTAACCAGCGCACGCCACGAGCCTGTAATCCTAGTTTTAACTGGTCCACAGAAACGAGGAACCGTCCTGTAATCCTCGTCCCGTTACACAAGTTTTGGCGGATCAGTGTCGGCCATTGATGAATATTGCCGACGATGGAACGACTCCTCTAACAAAACGTTCACCTGTGTCGTAGTATCGGCATAAAGGAAGCTTCTATGACTGTTACAAAAGAAGTGTAGGAGTCTCGTGAACAGAACTATTTTTTTCAGTATGCCGTCATTTTTCTTCTCTGTGCGAAGAAAATTCTGCATAAATTCAAGGGATGATGCCAGTTTGTTCTCCTTTAAATAAATAACATAGAGGTGGAGATTTGCAGACACCGTAAATGAGATTTGTGATTCAAGACTTACGCCACGCCGTCGATATTCTCTTTTGGCCTGGTTACACGCTCAAATTTCCGTCAAATTCCGATCAAAATGATGACCAAGATGGCGGTCGAGAGTCATCTAGATTGATGAGTAAAATTAATTGAAACAGCGTGTTGATTGAAATAAGTATGAAATAAGCACGGTTGTGTGGAAATCAGATGAAGGATAAGCCCCTCAGCTCCATCATCTACCATCAAATTTTTGCAGGCCGCAGAAATTTGATGGTTCCCCCCCGCCCTTTTTTTTGGAATGGTTTGCGTGCTCAATAATTTTCCATAACTTTCCAGCTCCTCAAACTCTTAAAAATATGAAGTATTGTACATGGGCATTCTGTTAATAAATATAGTACGAGAGAAACAACTAAAAAGTAAAAATTTGCACGGATATAATAAAAAACATCTATTTCGGCGAGGATCTAACCCGGACCAAGAAAATTATAGCGAAGCACGCTATCGGCTAGGCTATAACGGTGACAGCTTAATCGGAGGCTGAAATAGCTGTAATATCAAAGTGCGTTGGGGGAGTTGCGCGCGCAGCGCTCTGCGCACGCACTCTCCCTACGCTACTCAGCGATTCAACGCTAGGCTGCTAGGCAAAACGACAGTTACAATCAATCTGAACACATGTTTCGACTCAGTTTTGATCAAGTATCTCTGAAAGGCTGGGAAAGGCTGGTTTCAACCAAGGATTTTTGTGATCTTGATAGTATAACGAGTAACTGGATATAAATATCTCCTTGGATATCCTTGGATATTGTAAGATGCAGTCTTTAGAAGTTTGAATTTCTGACTATTTCAGAGGCTAACTTTCAAAAATTGCTGTAAGTCATAGAAGTATGTAAAAAAGAAAAAATTGGTATCCTTACGTTTAGGTGAGCAAGCCTTTGTTGAAAAAAAATTAAAAGTCACTAATGACACGCTTAGACAAACACACGAGGCTACTGAATGTAACCACTCTGAGGCGGTCCTCAACCAGCTCCGCGCTAACCGGTGCATTTCTTATTATTATCGCAGATAAGATCGATCTTATGAAGTAGAACTTGGCTGATTCTTGATCAGTAGATCCTAAGGAACACATACATACCAATTTTTGCCATTTTCATTGATGCTGATTTTCCGACTTTTTCGGCGCTAGATCGGCTGTTTTTCCCACTGTGCGTTGCTAATGAAAATTAAGGATTCTCCAAATCCTTTCCTAGACCTAGAGCTCAAATCTTACTCGCTCATCATGATGCGGAGGACACTCGCTCGAGCTCGCGATTGTATCGATTGGTGAAGAGCAATTTCCATAATAAACTTCAGCAAAATATCGATTTATTTGAGGTATATCGATTCTTGACGTCTCGGCCTTGGAACACTCGTCCGATTATACGGTGATAGCATTTACGTATTTAGGAGGGGTATGAAAAATAGTGCAAAAAATAATATCATTGGCGTGGCGTGCTTTGCGATATATCAATTGTTGTGCATTTTAAACCTATGGAAAAGGATCGATAAACGGAGTGTTTGCAGCGAACACCTTAATAATCGATTTTTTACCATAGGTTTAAACGAAAAAACAATTGAAAAGTGTTGACAGTCCGCTAGTCCATCGTATCCAGACGTATTAAGTAAGCGAGAGCGCCTTCATCTCTTGTGCATGCAACACCGACACCCCTTCAGCACCAATAGTCGCATACAGACGCGACGTTGCCATTGAGTAAGCCAGATCGCTTTGAATTTTTGGTGCATTTAGCTTACCTCCAACTTCAAATTCACTCTATATAGTTCACTCCTACCGATCGTCAACAAAATTTTAGTTAAGACAGTGGCGTGGCGTGCTTTGCGATATACCGATAGATCTGTCATTCACACCTACAGAAAAGGATCGATAAACAGGGTGTTCGCAGCGAACACCTTAATAATCGATTCTTTACCATAGGTTTAAATGGCATAACAATCGATCCATCGCAATTCACGCCAACGCCTTTGAATAATATATCATCGAAGAGAAAACAAGAGTGTCATACTTTGAACGACGGACCGCTTGAAGCCTGGTATCCCATACCTTCAGTGGTAGGAAAGAGGTCGGTTGATTTGGTGATGGCTCTTGCCAATGCTGCGATGCCAAGGAAAAACGCCGTATGAACATTCGAGAGTTGCAAAATTTCTTCTCAGAAAATAGTTATTATTGAAGAAAGTTATGAATATTTTCCTTGAAATTTTCA